GAATAAGTTTGTCCAGAACGCAATTGCAACTTGCGGGGTCAGTTTGTTATATTCATATCGTGCAACATCCTCAATACCTCAGGTGTTACGCTCACTTTCGCTCTCTGCACCCTTGAAATATGTCATAGTAAAATCGAAGGTTTAGAGTGAGACACCTTATGGATGAGACAAGAAGACTAGACTTGTCTCTTGAATATTGAATTATTTAGAAGAAAAAAATAACTCTAATGATTGTGATCATTTGGATGCCGAATTCTAAATTCTTGACTAGGGAAGATAAGCTAGTAAAATGCAGCTAAGAAATTCTCCGCAAAAAAAGCTTAGGGCTGGTATCCAGTCTAGATCCTTTGGTGTACATCAAAAGAATCTCGCGGTCGCTTAACGGTAAAATTGACTGGCTTTGAAGTAGGTTGTCGCTCCTCTGTAATCTTCAACGGACAGGTATCGGCCTAGCGATTGGTCAGGTTTCTTTACCTGAGACAAATCACACACTATTTTCGTGCCTTCAATTTTGCTATGATAAAGTGGGCGTAACCCATGGAGCATCGGGGGGATCGTGCAATAGGTTCACAACCTAAGATGTCAGTTTGTTCAAAACGCGCAATCGTAACTCGAAGGATCATTTTATTATGTCCAGAGTATGCAATTTCAACAACATTTCTAGGAGTAAAGCATGTATGCGTTTTGATTTACTTGTTGTTGTCCTGGGCAGGGCTGGCTTATTTGTGTTTCATTGATGATGATGTTGCTACTTTCTAATTCTCGGGCGCAAGTTTCAGAGGGGCGCGGATGTAATGAGCTCACTTCGTTTGTAATACAGATTATTGTGTTGTTTTTGCGCTTGTAAACCTCGCCAATGTTAACAAGCATATCGTCCATGTAAGATTGTCGTTCCATCCGTCCAATAACCGCGTTTTTAACGGCTTCGGGTCGCAATGTAAGCGCTGAAAATGTAATGTTCCTCTTTACACAGCAATTAAACATGTTCTTGTTAAAAAACCAAAGCCAAAATAACTTCAAAATCACAAACTGGACAGTGAGAACTAAAATACAAAAACTAGCAAAGATAACTGCATGCTCTAAGCCAGATTTCGAACTTATATAAATATGGTTTATTTTTGCCGTACGTACCATCACTTTTGAGGAGCCTTTTTCCAGCTCTGGGCCCCGCCACTACCCTAACTCACTGTACAGGCAGCTACCGTCCAGATGTGCCATGTTAATATTAGTGTCGAGTCAATATTGGACTCGTAATGTGACTCTGTGAAAGGTGAAGATAGTTGTGCCATTTATTTATAGATAGCAAACGGTGAAACCTTGACCTAGTGTAGGGTGCGTTGTATTGTTAGCTTTATACAATTTATAACCGAATCGTGTGTAATTATTTTGATTTCGTACATAAAATCAAAAGAATAAAACAAACCCAAAATATCAAAACAGGCCCTGTTATTATAGTTATATTGATACAAGCGCAGAATGGAATGTAGACGATTTATAAAAATATTTGTGGTTTTTTTTGACGAAGTTGATGAACGTTGTAGATCTGGGTCTCTTATCGCGAGGATCCTAAGACGGAACCTCCAATGGTTCCTCCAATATCATACTTTACGTTATAAAAAAAGTTCCGTGTTGTCTTTGTAAATGATATTAGCCGCCAAATATATTACATGTATGTCAGTGTTGTTCAAAATATCTCGCGTCGTTGTTCAAATTGTTTAAGCTTGATACGACGCTCCCATCCAAAATCTCAAGGATTTGGAGTACCCCGATGAAAGAAACGCGTACCTTAAAATGTATAAGACCTTTATTTATTTATTTTCATGATGGTTATGGTTTGGGAAGCAGAGGAGATGTTAAATCAGCATGGCTTTGAAAATTATATGTGTAGGTTTCGATATCATAATATTCAGAACGGTAATGAGTAGATAGAATATCGAGTTGCTTATTGGTACCTGTCGCCTGCGTGAGCCTTTGAGCTGGAGATTTAGTTACAGTGTTTATGTTTGGACCTAACTGACACAGGGACCTGAGAATTGGTGACAGTACAAATCCTTCAGAAGGTGAGGGGTGGGGGCATTTTTATGACGGGCTAAAATGTATCCTGGCTAGAGTCGTTCACCTGTGTCACAAAATAACAAAACAGTCCAGATGCTGTTAATTGGAGTGACGACGAGCACACCTGTCAGGGCAATGTAGAACCTTCCCGATGTAAGCTAGTTCTTATTTGGGTGGAAACTATCTCACTTTACCAGTTACCTGGCCAAATATCAAAACTCGACGATGATATTCACTCATTTGAGATGATAAAATAAAATAGGTGTTGATCTTAATCCCTACATGACGTTAAAAATACCCTCTATACATATCAGGAGACGTCAATAGCCCATACACACATCAGTGCATTAATTATCAGGCCCCTGTGTGTCATATATCACGCTGACATTTTACCGCTAAACGCAATCACTGAAGTCCATCACCCTATTTATACCACGCCATACATTTGTCGCCGATGCTTACCTGTCTCCCCTATAAAGCAGATCAATCCCCACAGCTTTATTTATATATCACGTAGTCAGCATTATTTCATGCAGGTTTTTAATGTCGGTCCATTCTTGGCCTCTCCAGGGAGTCCGGTAGTCTTACCTTTGATGGAATTGTCGTTTACGATTCTGATCCAGTGGTTAGTCTATGAGACCTACATCCACCTGGTAATGTCGATGAACTTTGGTAATAAAAGTCGTTACGTAGCTCGACAAAGCTGCCTTACTACCGGAATGTTTACTTTCTCACAAAGAAAACACATCTTTTTTGAAGTCGGATCAAATCGTAATCTTGATTCGAACGACAATGCAGGTAGGAAATGAAAACGTTTTATGCTTGGATTGAATACACATCAAACTGTCCGCATACCTAGCCAGCTTAAAGTGACAATGGAGATATCGGAATGAGCGTTACATAAGGTAATTCGAGTCAAACTTTCTTCACAACAGTCATTGACAAATCAGCTACCTCGCATGCACATTTGGTCAGGACACAGGAGAGTGTCCTTATCATGGATGTGAATATATAATAGTGAATAAAGAATAATAGTTGATTGAAAAACAGTATCTCTTTTATTTCATTATAATTTTTTATTTTTTTTAATTCCGTTCACCAATATATCAAATCAGCTCGATATGTCAGGTAGTTCAATTTGACAAACAATCGGATGTCAAGGCATTTTTTTCAGGGTTATCGTGTTATATAAACATATGTGGGATGTGGCTTAAAGATAACCACATACATACATATATAGACTGCATAATTACAGGAACACGTCCGTGCTAACTTGGTTGTCCCCGGATCCCCATCCCTGAGTAATATCTTAAAAATGGCCAGATGCTTCACCTTAAAACTGCACGTATTACGCTGGGCAAAATAAACATGATGTTAAGTACAATGATATTAGAAATAATCTCGGAATCCTGTCCTGCCTCTAGGGACATGGTCGTCTGGTTATAACATGGAGGTGGTTCAGATTCCCATCCCATAACTATATGAAATGTTGCTGGGCATGAATGGATGAAAAAAGTCACGCTACTTTGATTGGGCACGGGGTCCAGCCTCTCAGACCCCCACCCCCCGGGACTTAGCATGAAAGCGGTTAAGATATCTACCCAATGAAGAGACGAACACTTTCATGCTACTAGGCCATGAATGCTTAAATATCCGGGTGAGCGATACAGGCCCTATGTGCCTCTTATTTGATTTCCATATCGATCCGATTGATTTCCCATATATTTTCGCTAAATTCTGACGTTGTTTCATACGCACAATACCGTTTATTTTTGAGGAACTGACATCAAGTTCCACAACTATTCTTGTGGCAATAGATAGAAAAAGTAGAAACCACCGACCCTTGTACATTTTATATTTCACCGTGGCTTTTAATTATCCTTTTGCTGCACTTTCTATTCGAGTTTTACAACCCTGCGTGTTGAAATGTGACGCTGATACTTATTATACATCAAGTCAAACATTGATCCTACTTATCGAATCCCTGTACCGTTTCAAATAGTTGATGCGTTTGAAAAGTAGAGGCTGTGTCGTTTTACTGGCTTGCTATTTTTTTTCTCCAAATTCGCGTCCATGTTATGGCAAAGGATTGCGTAATCTAATACTACTTTGCAAATCATCACAAATATTTAATTTGGATAAAACATATATAATTTTCAACAGAAAATCTACATAACCGATTGGTGTCGATCAGAGTTATCTGCGATAATACACCAGAGGAGGTTTGCAGATACAAGAAGTGTGTCGGTACATATAGAACCATCTAATGTTTGCAGACGTCATTTAACGAAAAATACTTATCCCTAAATCCAAGTTTCTTTCTGCCATTTTTCTTAAGACCTGTGTCCGATATGCTATAAAAAAAGTTTTCAAGTTGGTAAGTTCCGGATTATATTGAGGTAAAAACGTGTGATCTGCCGCTTTCCAATGTGATGTGTATGTCACCTAAATATATCGGCCAAATCAATCTTGCAATAAACTTTTAGTATCCCAAAAGTATTCATACTCTCGACGCTGATAAAAGTAAGAGAATGAGAAGTTATTAAATTGCGTAGCTACAGTTTTCCTATGGTCGTCTGTTAATCAAAAGAAGCAAGTATGTGCTCCCCACAACACTGAGCGATTTTCCTTCTTGCACTGAGTGGCCATCCAATGCTTTTCACTCTGTTCGCATGTCGGGTTGCGGTTAAAAGGAACATAGGACGGTGGTATATACTGTTATGTAAAGCTTAAAGTATTAAAGCTTTGGCCTTGGTGCTTCTCAATCCAAGTCACCCCGATGTATTTGCTCTTCTCTCTCAAAGGTTTGGCCATGAAAATGACAATGTAAACATAAGTAGTACTTTTGAAACATTTTCCCATTGTTAATACTTTTTTCCCAATTTTGAAACGGACCGATAATATATATATATATACAGTATATTGAGTATAACATGATGTTACAGACCTAATGTATGCGGCTCCACCCGGCAATACTGCTGCAGAGGCTGGACCAGACCCACCAACAACATCAGATGTGTCATACGTAAGTGTCCTCTTCAGTCACATGCCTTATTCTTACCGTTCCTCATGTAATCCTGTATTAAATAAGTGCCTTCCCAAGTCGCATGTGTCTGTCACATTTTGGAATGCTACTATATATACCATCCTTGAAAATCCAGAGGTTCTGCTCCACACCCCTGAATAAGTTATGACGAAATCGAAGGCACGAGGTTAACTATTTGGTTGCTTTTAGGAAACAAAAAAAGACACATCATTAAGTCTGATAGGCTACTCGTTCTTTCAAAGACGGCCAATGCTACCGTTGCGCTGCTGTGCGATTCTTTTGGTGTACGTCAAAATAAATACCAAACTAGTCTACTGGTTTCATCCACAAGGTACTGTGGTGTGTTCAGAGCCTCTGCATACGTTGGGACATATTTCAGGGGTATCAGATAATGTAAGAGAGAATAACCCCTGGAATTTCGAGATTTGGAAATGGTTGGGGGCGATATGAATCAAAATTAAAATTATGGCGTAACAGTTTTGGGCCTAACGGTTTTAGGGCTAATCGTCTGACATCCCTAGTATCTGCAGTTAGCTACACATATCTAATTCGTATACATTGATGTTGAAACCGTTAAAATGTTGAAAACCGTTAAAATTGACATTGCTAATAGTCAATGTGACAAGTACCTGTGTTGTCATAATGGTGCATTTGCGTATCCGCTTAAAACGGTTAAACCAGTAAAGATAAGATACCGGTTATCTCAAACTCACGTGCATCACATCATATGATAATGGCCGAATTAACACCGTATTGAAATTTACCTTCCTATTTTAAATTGTATCTGATTCAAGACGGGATACAGGATATATTATAGGTGTATGGACAGATGAGGCAAGTATCCTGTGAATAAAGTTAACAGGCTGGTGGTTTTGTTGTAGCGATCTGTGTTCGGAACTGTGATGGAGGGATATGCATGCGTCCTAACCAGTGTCTATGTCCGACCGGCAACATCTCACCCGCCTGCCGAACAACACGTAAGTATTTGATAATTCATATGCGATTTAATTAAGTTAGGCCTACTCAAACTTTAGTGGGACCTAACTACTCATCAGCGTCTGAAAAGCGCTTCGATTTCTGCCGACAAAATGAAGCGCTCTTTTGACGGTGATTCGTAGAGGGCAGATTGGTGCTGAGGATGGACCTCTCCGGCATTCGATCAAATTCTGGCAATTTGCCGTATGTTTTACAACTCTGATGCCTATGATGGTGTTATATATAAAGATGATTTCATAATTTATCAAAGATATTCTTAATAACAGTGTAATTTACTGAAAACAATGAACCATTGCGATTTCGCCAGAAAGGTAAAATGGCTCCTGTAATGCTGTAGGCTTAGTACTGTGCAGTGTCGATACTGTATGCAGTAGTAAATATAGTGCAGTAGGCCTCTATAGGTCTACCAGATGATTCAATCATGAGGCATTTCAAGTTTTAGTAACTCGTATGTTTGGTTAAGTCACACTCATACTTCCAGAAACACAATTTTATTTACACACTTGTGTTATTTTTGACCTAAAGTAAACACTAATCAGATTCTGGAAAAAAATATGCAAAGACTGGCATTGGTTAAGATTTTTCGAGGTGACATTATTTAACAACACATACCTTGACTATTACAGTGCTAGAATTTGCAGGTGTGTGGTTAAACCATAGGTGTTTGAAATTCTGACTGTGAATTGAGATAAAAATCATATAAAAAAATATAAAAAAGGAACTGTTCTTTTTTTTATATATAGTAATACCCTTATTTTTTATATGATTTTTATCTCAATTCACAGTCAGAATTTCAAACACCTATGGTTAAACTGTACATTTCATATTTTCCTTGGATCAATTTTTCTGTAAATGTTCATGTGCTCTCCAGATTCGTAAAGTTTTTAAATTACATGTGTAATGTGTAATAAGGTGGTACCATATACAATGTATGCACTTCATGTTAACACGGATAATCTAAAAGTTGTCGCAACAAATGCCAAATCTCTGGTGTGAAGTCTCCCAGGAGCTACATGTCAATGAGATGGTACTAGTTTAAATATGTTGTTATCCCTTTCATGAGGGATGTGAAATAACATCCATTTTCATCCAAATTTATATAAACATCTGGTCAACTGTTAAAAGTAGAATTAGTAATTATAATCGCCTGATTCATACTCAATTGGTAGAGCATTACTCTACTTCCCGTTGCACAAGATCCATACTTGAATGAGTGAATTTCAATTTTATTGCTTTTATTAATTCATGCAAACTTATGGTATATTTTTTTTTGAATTTGATGCAAAGATTACTAATACTTCCGAAAATGATGAATTTGCATCTCATTTCAGCTGTATGTACCCAAAGCTGTATGAATGGAGGTCGTTGTGTTGGAAATGACCGTTGTTCTTGTTCCTATGGATTTTCTGGTCGGAGGTGTGAACATGGTAAGGGCAGCCAAGTAGACATGACCTTGGTTAAGGATAAGTACAATGATCCACAGATATGAATGTACTATATAAATTATGTGTAAAACAGTATGTTAAAGTTAATTCTCTGAAACACATTGTTAATGAAAGAATAGAAAATATTGAATTTGAATCTTAAATTAATTCTTTTAAATTTACAATTTAAGTCAATTGATAACATATCTTATATCCAATCAGAGAAACACTTTTGTTGCCAATCTAGGGGAAATGTCGGAATGACTGATGTATTAGCATTTGTTTATATATATATATATCAAGATATAAAGATGTACAGTTTTGACAGGTTATATTATATAGGATTTCAATAGAAACATGTACACTGGTGGTAGTGTCAATTTTAGTGGTGTCAGGATCATGTATGTATTCAGTGAATTATAGACTGTTACATGATTGACTTATTTCTGTTTTATCAAGGTTATCTGTATTGTTAGATTACAGAACTGGACCCTGTTTTACTCAAATCTCGGACAACATGTGCCGTGGTCAGCTGACCGGAGTTGTGTGTACTAAGGCCCTGTGCTGTGCCACTATAGGCAAGGCCTGGGGAAAGCCCTGTGAGCAGTGTCCCTTACATTCTCAGCCTTGTCGTAGGGGCTACATTCCTAATTTACAAGCTCAAAACTGTCAGGGTAAGAAAACTTTAACAAGATTTTAAATTGAAAAAAAACATTACTTTGCATTGATTCTTGGAGTATTTTAAGTTTTTAGTGTATTTAGTACCACTAATCAGTTATTAACTCATTCACCCCTGAAGACACATTTGAACTTTTCCAAGTCAAAGATTGGAATAGTTCATTATGAAATTTGAGGGGTGAATGAGTTAATCACTGAATGGTTGGAATTTGAGTTGTCTTTATATTCTTAGAAAAATAAGCTGCCATTGAAGGAAATATATATGGGAGTTGGTAATGGTATGATACATCAACATGTTGGTTATATAGAATTATTTAATGATGACTTACTATCAGTTAAGTTACCATTCTACCTATTTATAGTGAAGAATATATAGCTGTATCATATCACATTAGAGATATATCAAATCTGCTTATAATGAGGACGGTTTATCCTTTTAAAAATTGGCCAATTTAAAAGTAATATGATATATAGCGGTAAGCTTTTCCCCAAAGCAGATTACTGTAAGAAAAAGATTATTCTTGTGTAAATAAATGACCAGAGATCAAAGCAAAAATAAGAGATTGTAATTTATTCACCTTGTATCCATGTTTCTAGATGTTAATGAGTGTGCTGCCATACCTGGGCTGTGTGTGGGAGGCAGCTGTGTGAACACCCCTGGCTCCTACCGGTGTGAATGTAAGGCAGGACAGAGCCAGAATCCCATCACTCAGGTCTGTGAGGGTATGTACAGTGATCACTGATGTGTGAAAATAATAAAAGATAGAACTCTTGTCACTCCGGTCTGTGGGGGTAAGTACACGATTCACTAATGTGTGAAAGTGAGAGGAGACCGAACTCTGTCACTCAGGTCTATTAGGGTATCTGGTAAGTACAAATATAGCTCATGTGAGAATGGAAAGTTTGACGGAACTGTCACTCCGGTCTGTGAGGGTACGTACAAGATTCACTGATGTGTGAATGCTAGAATCCCATCACTCCAGTCTGTGAGGGTACATACCAGATTCACTGACATGTGAATGCTAGAATCCCATCACTCCGGTCTGTGAGGGTACGTACCAGATTCACTGACGTGTGAATGCTAGAATCCCATCACTCAGGTCTGTGAGGGTACGTACCAGATTAACTGATGTGTGAATGCTAGAATCCCATCACTCAGGTCTGTGAAGTCAAGTACAAGATTCAGTGATGTGTGAATGCTAGAATCCCATCACTCCGGTCTGTGAGGGTACGTACCAGATTCAGTGACGTGTGAATGCCAGAATCCCATTTCTCAGGTCTGTGAGGGTAAGTACAATATTCACTAACGTGTGAATGCCAGAATCCCATCACTCAGGTCTGTGAGGGGTACGTACCAGATTCACTGATGTGTGAATACCAAAATCCCATTACTCAGGTCGGTGAGGGTACGTACCAGATTCACTGACGTGTGAATGCCAGAATCCCATTTCTCAGGTATGTGAGGGTAAGTACAAGATTCACTGATAGTGAATGCCAGAATCCCATCGCACGGGTTTTCGAGGGTGCGTAAAGATTCACTGATGTGTGAATACCAAAATCCCATTACTCAGGTCTGTGAGGGTAAGTACAATATTCACTGATGTGTGAATCCCAGAATCCCATCACTCAGGTATGTGAGGGTAAATACAATATTCACTGATGTGTGAATACCAGAATCCAATCACTCGGGTTTGTGAGGGTAAGTACAAGATTCACTGATGTGTGAATACTAGAATCCCATCACTCAGGTATGTGTGGGTAAGTACAAGATTCACTGATGTGTGAATACCAGAATCCCATCACTAAGGTATGTGTGGGTAAGTACAAGATTCACTGATGTGTGAATACTAGAATCCCATCACTCAGGTATGTAAGGGTAAGTAGAATATTCACTGATGTGTGAATCCCAGAATCCCATCACTCAGGTATGTAAGGGTAAGTACAATATTCACTGATGTGTGAATACCAAAATCCCATCACTCAGGCATGTGCGGGTAAGTACAAGATTCACTGATGTGTGAATACCAGAATCCCATCACTCAAGCCTATATGTGTGGGTAAGTACAAAAATCACTGATTTGCAAATGTAATGTGGGGCAGTGATAGGTCGATCATCTTCTTAAATTTGTTTTAATGTTTTATACCATCTGAATACCCTATATCAAATCTTTTCTTCCGTATAATACAAAAATGTGATCATAAAGTCATGAACCTATTTCAATGTATAGGACATTTATAGAAATGTTCATTATTCTACAGTGTTCCCTGGATCATCAAAGTAAATATAACATACTTCAGGTGTTTAAAAGTTCATACGATTTTTAGGTGTCATTCATAATCATTCTTAATAAACTGGAGAAAACTTCTTTAGGACATATTTTGAAGTACTAACTCTGCATTATGGTGTTTTTTTTACTGATTATCATTATTAAGCAATAATTGTTATATTTTCTTCAGATATAAATGAGTGTGAAACCATTCCAAACACATGTGAAAATGGAAAATGTACCAATACAGAAGGCAGCTATTTCTGTGTATGTGATCCGGGCTATGAAACCAATGCTGACCGCACACAGTGTGCAGGTAAGGAAACTCAATCCTTCTCTGTCACTGCTTTAGTATCACAGTAGCATGATCATGAATCACGGAAGGAAGTAGTTGAAAGGGAAAAACAAGTTTAAAACACATTTTATCTATGGCACATGTCTTTTGGACTGATATGCGAGATATTGTTTGTGTCGTTCATGAGGTAATTGATAACAAGTTTTTCTATTGAGACTTGCAGTGAGGTAACTTATTTACATGAAATCTTTGGAAGAGAGGGAGTTTATTGCATATTTCACTATAAGCGTGGGAGGATGCATGTTTTTATGTATTTCTTTATCAGGGAAAATATTATGATAAAATTGCATAATAAGGCTTTTGGGATTTCTCACTCTTGTTTATCTTAAGTGCTTAAGCACCTATGAACACAAGCTGTTGATGGGAAGGATGTGATGCTGGTTTTATTGCAGGCTTAGCTGTGTAGTAGGCATGCCAGGCATTTATCTCCAATACTCGCTAATGTTTCACTGTTGTATCAGGTTTTACTACCTAATCAACAATCTCTAGATATTTAACTACACACTTAAACATGTAACCCAATACTTTGACAGACATTTGATTTTGCCTGTAGATTTTCTCTTTAATTGCCTTTTGGACAAATTTGATGGGACCGAGACTGTAGTATCTGGACCTCATGCCGAGATTGCAAATAAATGCCCTGGTTTTAGTTACCCCAGAAATCTGATATGTAAAATTGATGTGATATAAAGTGTTATTATATTACTATAGTGTTTGTATTTCTCATTCTGAAATGATGTAAACAAGACAATAATTGTACGAAGTTGTCTAGACAGGGCTCGAGATACAGACACCAGCGGTAGTATTTTAAAACAAATTTCAACGCATTCATGCAAATCTAAATAAGACCATGTGTTTTAGTTGTGTATTTTTCACACAGGTGTCGTTAAATTTTACTGTCTGAATGGCATGCTGCTGAAAAACATCCATAACGTAGGTATTTGGGTGAATTTTGTACACTCGGCAGATAGGCATCACCTGAATAATACGTGTGATGTACCACTTTCCTTAACCTTACCTTATGATCAAAGTCGTAATGTAAGGTTAAAAGTCAATTGGTCCCATTTGTATCCCAGTCATTATACTCTGTAAGATTTGACTGGCTGAAGATATTTGATTAAAGTTTTTCCTAATAAATGTTTCCTGCAGGGCTTTCATTTCAGTAAACCCCCTGAGGATGTTTATGACTCCTCATATAGGATTTTACTGCTAGATTTTAAAATCTCATGTCTACTTGACATATGCTTTGACTCTCCAAAATTCAGGGATAAATCTATTTGACTTCTGAAACTGCTAAATGTCAAGGGTCAACTGAAAGCCTTGGTCCTTATAAACCAAGGAACATACTTAAACCTCTTGCTGATTGTGGTTGCAGTTTTTAAGAGGAAGACATGTTTTAGCCGCATCTCCGCGGGAACCTGTGCTGATCCCATGGGAATCCTGTTGTCCTTGCGCGACTGCTGCTGTGAGATGGGGAAAGGCTGGGGCAATTCCTCCATTTGTCAACTCTGTCCCGAAAAAAACTCAGGTCAGTATGACCATTCTATAATCAGGGCCAGGTCTGAGGTGAAACATGGGTTGGTTATGTACGTCTCTCTATCTGCCCTGATTCTTATTACAACACATTCATCTTGAAGTTCACTCTAACATAAACCAACACTATGTTGAAGGCCCCATTTAATTTTATGTTGAATTAAAGAATAATTCAAATTGTTAAAAAATGTAATTTTCAACATTTCAGAGTGATATTTTGTTTCAAAACAAAGGGATTAGACAACAGGCATAGTCTATACGAGTCTTCTCCCGTTCCGGTAACAGAATGTGATACATGCACATATATTCCTGTAGATATTCAATACAGGGGCTGTGCTCGTTCTAAATATGAAAAATTGGTTGTTTGTGTCATTACTGGTATCTAAATATGAATTGCTTTGTGTTCAGATGCCCACAGAGAACTATGTGTAGTGTCTGATTTGAAGAGGAATGAGTGTAGCCTGTTTCCCACATTGTGTACCAACGCTCGGTGTGTCAACACGTTACAGGCCTACCGTTGTGACTGTAATGCTGGATTCAAACCTACAAGTGATCCGGATGTTTGTATCGGTAAGGAATAAAATTGTTTGAAGTGTTGTACTTGCTAAAGTATATATCCAGGTCTCCATCCTCAGAATACCTCTCAGATTCATAATCACACTATGAAAATACAATTATGCCATCATTCTTGAGATTTGAAGCATTTTCTTACATTTTTCATGATAAAAGTGAATACACAGATACTTAGGAATGCATGTACAGGTAAGTTTTTTCATGAATTATAATATTCAATTCAATTTTGCGCCACTCAAATTCAGCATTCCAAAGTTACTTTTCAGACAAAATCAACAGTATTTTTGACAAATAATTTCTGCAAAGGTCATTATTGACATTGTTCTTGACATGGGTATACCAACCAACTTACATATTTTTTTCATTTTGAGGAAAGGTATGAACCCATTACAAACTATATACACTTACATGACGCTGTATGAAATACCTTAAGTACAAAAAAAAAATTGTATATCAAAATAAAGTAGAAACCATCTACAACGCGTCCAAGGGGACCTGCAAAATTAGTTTTTTATATGCACAATTTATTATTAAGTTTTTATGTTCACTTCTCAATTCCTTTTGTGTTAGGGGTACAAATGTAAGACTTATTTATAATCGAGAATTTACTATAAGCTTGTTAATTCTGAACATGTTTTCTGTATTGGGTCCAAAAATACGTTCGATTTAAAATGAGTTTATCAAGAAATATGACCACCTTTTGTCCTACTACTCTGATTTTTTTTATAATGTTTCATTTTTAGCTCACCTGCCCTAAGGGCAAGTGAGCTTATGTAAAGGCGCGGCGTCCGTTGTCCGTCAACTTTTCCTAAAAATCGCTACTAGTCATAAACAATTGAGCAGATTTTGACCAAATTTGGTCAGAAGCATCCTTAGGGAAAGGGGAACAATTTTTGTTTAAATGGTGGGTCTGGCCCCCCTGGGGCTGAGGGGAGGGGCCCAATGGGGGAAATATAGTAAATTCTTTAAAATCCTTCTTCTTCTGTAGGAATTAAAGGATTTGGTCTGAAGCATCCTTGGGTAAAGGGGAACCAATTTTGTATAAACCGAGGGTCTGGCCCCTGAGGGGCCTGAGTATATAGGGGAAATATAGCAAATCCTTTAAAATCCTTCTTCTTCTGTAGGAATGAAAAGATGTGTTCCATATTCGGTCTGAAACATCCTTGGGTGAAGGGGAACCAATTTTGTATAAACCTTGGGTCTGGACCCCCAGGGGCCTGAGGGGCGGGGACAATTGGTCTAAATTGATTTAAGCGACTTCTTTTCTGGAACTAAGAGATTGATATCAACCATATTTGACTGGAAGCATCCCTTGATAGTGGAGATTAAAAATTGTACAAATGGTTGGGCTGACCCCCCAAGGGGCTGAGGGGCAGGTCCAAAAGGGGGCATTTTGGCTATATTGCTACAAACGACTTCTTCTGTAGAACTATGCACTGGATATCAACCATATTTGACTGGAAGCATCCCTAGGTGGTGGGGATTCAAAATTGTACAAATGGTTGGGCTGACCCCCCAGGGGGTGGGGGCAATTTGGCTATATTACTATTAACCACTTCTTCTGTAGAATTATGCCATGGATATCGATCATATTCGGTCAGAAGCATTCATGGGAGGCAGGGATTCAAAATTGTACAAAAAGTAGGGCTGACCCCCCGTGCTAAGGGTTGGGGACAAAAAAAGTTTATTACTTGGAAATGGTTGAGATTCTCATGGTATTCCATATATACAATTGTGTAGTATAAAGAGAAGCATGTACATTTGCTTCCAGGATGGCCTAGGGTCTGGCCCCACCCTTTGAGACGTAGTCCCTGGGTCATAACTTTGAAACGGTTGAGATCCCCACCCCATAACCATGCATATGTACAATTGCTGAGTATAAAGAGATGAATGCACATATGCTTCCAGGATGGATGGCCTTAGGGACTGCCCCACCCTTGGAGACTTAACCCCTGGGTCATAACTTCGAAATGGTTAAGATCCCCACCCCAAAACTATATACACAATTGTTGGGCATAAAGAGACAAATGCAGTCATGATATTAGAATTGACCCCAGGGTTTGCCCCACCCTTGCAGACTTAACCCCTGGGTCATAACTTTGAAACGGTTGAGATCCCCACCCCATAACTATATATACAAATGCTGGTCAAAAAGAGACGAATGCAGTCATGATAATAGAATTGATCCTGGGGTCTGGCCACGGCCACAGCCTTGGGGATCTAGTTTCTGAGTTACAGCTTGGAAACAGTTGAGATCCCCACCCCATAACCATACATTAAATTTCTGGGCATGAAAAATCTAATACAGACATACTTCAAGAATTGGCATTGGGGCCTGGCATATTTCCGTGGAATATCATTTGGAAAATATTTTGCCATGATTGCTTAGATGTCCAGTTGAGCGATTCAGGCCCTCTGGGCCCCTTGTTAATAAACAAGTGTTCTTTTGTTGCCTTTCAACATCCAATGGTCTTCATATTTATTATAGATATTAATGAGTGTCGAGAGGATCCTCGGCTTTGCTTGAATGGACTTTGTGTGAATACAGAAGGAAGCTTTAGGTGTGAATGTAATGCAGGCTATACTTTGTCTACGGATGGCCGCTATTGTACAGGTGAGTACTGCCTCTGATCCCCTGTACACTGTTTACCATATTTATGAAGACTTTTTTTTTACCTCCCACAAAGGTGTGAATTTAGTAATGATCCAGAGGCTGCATCCCTGCAGATGGTGGAACATTCAGGATGCAAAATTTTGGTGTCCCGACAATATTTAGATCCCCATCGTTAACCATGTTTTTGCTGGGTATGAAGGACAAACTCTGGGATCTGGTCCTGCCCAAAGGGACATAGTCACAGGGCCGTATTTTAAGATCCTAACTCTACAATCATTTACACATATATGTATACATGAATCAACCAAATTTGCTATGATGCTTCCTTGATCCTTGGTATCTTTGAGGTGAATGTTTTATAAAGAATTGTGTTATAATAGCTTTTCTTGGGGCCAAAATGGGGTAATTTCAGTATACAAGTCTTTAAAAGCCTACCCCTCTTGAACAATTGATCATAATCCAGCCTACCCCTCTTGAACAATTGATCATATTCCAGCCTACCCCTCTTGAACAATTGATCATATCCCAACAATACTTGCCATGAAATATCTCTTGGACCAGAAGACTAAATATGACATAAAAAACATGTTTTCCCCCTGGTTGCTGAAATTTATAGCCTAAAATTTGGAAATGTTTGCATTGTATATATAACTTAAAATGAGAGTTTTCTGTCAGGAATTTCTGACATGTTCTGGAGATACAGGCGGTCTCTGGGCCTCTTTTTCATTTCTCTTGTTGCATTACTTGTAGAAGTGTACTAACTGTTCCTTTTTTCTCACAGACATGAACGAGTGTGATACAAGTGGAATGTGTCCCAATGGACGTTGTGTCAACATGAACGGTGGCTATAAGTGTGAATGCAACACCGGCTATCGACAGTCTACCAACCAGCAGATTTGTTTTGGTATGCTATGCTGTGTTGATCATTCTCTTTTAAACATTATGATAAATATAATGATGTAATGTTATTCAGATTTATACATTTCTATTCTGGATAACATACTACCCCTTATAGATATGTATAGGTATGCACTAACTGTGAAGTAATATTTTTGCTGCCCTCAGAAAAACCTGACATTTAATGTCATTATGTTTATTGGTTTGATTGGTGAAGTTGGGTGATATTATCATGACTTAAACTGGCTATTTTGTTGTGTTCATTGTAATCAGTGACCTACTCAAGGAAATCTCTTTGTGAATACATTCTTATTTTAAAGTAGTTTTAAAGGATGGAAATATTTCAACTTTTTTTGTTTTGAACTTTCCCTCCATGTTTAATTGAACCAGAGATGGGGTCCAAATCAAAGCAGGATATAGTATATATACAATGTACATGTATATATACAATGTACATGTATATATACAATGTTATACAATGTACATGTATATATACAATGTACATGTATATATACAATGTACATGTATGGGTCAAAGAAGTAATGTACATATATATATACAATGTACATGTAGATATACAATGTACATGTATGGGTCAAAGAAGTAATGTACATGTATATATACAATGTACATGTATATAGGTCACATTTTCTCCAATTAAGAGGGGAAAAACAACAAGTTCTTGAAGTTTCTGTGATTTGTTAATGATGAATATATGTATTTGTTTGTAGATTTGAATGAATGCACAGAGAATGGGAAGCTGTGCACCAATGGCATGTGTGAGAACATGGAAGGGTCATTCAGATGTGTGTGTAACCCTGGCTTTCAGCTGTCACCAGACGGAGCCTTCTGTCTAGGTAAAGATCTCATCACATCAAAAATTTAACAGACATGGGTTGACTTCTGACTGTTTGTACAATAACTTTAATTTTTTCCCTAGACTTCTGTTGGGGGTGGTCAATGGCACAGTAGATAGGGCACTAGCTTTCACACAGACAGATGGGTTGTGATTCCTGGATTGAATGTGAAAAGGTATTGTGGGTTTTATCAAGGTACTCCAGTTTCCTCCCACATGATGACCCGTTAAGTATTGACATTTAGGAAAACAAGAGTAATTAATTTGAGTTGATATAATTCATAATTGTTGTAAAATATAGACTTCTATCTCATATTCGATACTGATGAAAAGTGTTGTTACCAGTGAAGAAGCTAATTAAGAGGAATGCTGTTTCAGATTACAACGAGTGTGCCACAACTAGAATGTGTACCCATGGTCGCTGTATCAACATGAACGGTGGCTACAAGTGTATATGTAACATCGGCTTCATGTCTACCCCCGACAACCGAGCGTGTATTGGTGAGGTTTTCCTGTCTACTCCTATTAATGCGAACGTACATATTTCAGCGGTATTCTAATTTAAGTGTTTTTTGCGCTGTAAATATTGCACTAAATTGTAACTGCGCTAATTTGAATTTTGTATATAGTTTCATATTGCATGAAGTGTGAGTGCGCAAATTCATCAAAGCGCTAATCTTTTAAAATTTCATAAAAGGCTAAAATTTGTGTCCACTAAAGAAAAACACTTTTACAGTACCAATTTTCAATAGCATGTGTGATCTTAAGTTATAACCTTAACATCTTTCTGGAAAATGGGCTGTTCAAACTGAGTCTTGAATAAGACAAGAGCAATTAAATTTCTTACCTAGGTACTTGCAAAGTGAAAAATAATTTCATGCTAAAATTATGTTAGAAAACAAATTCACACGCAATAAATGTTTTGCACACCTTTTCAATGAAAGGATAATGTGTCACATGAGAATCACGCAAATTTTTTGTTTGAAAATTAAAAAGGTGTTTCTCATATAAATGTCGTTCTTTTTGCTGAATTATTCAATAATGTTTTAGCTGTTATCACTATCCTGAAAATGTTATGTACTTTATAAATTTTAAACCTGAATTTTGAAAATTGGGTGTCTAAAAATCTTCAAATTACACTTTTTGAATTTTTATTTTTAACTAAAGATTTTTGTAAGGAAGAAACTTCATTAAAGTTGTTTTACCTTTGAGATATATTTGAACAAATAAAAGTACATATGGTAACCAAAGTTTGCCCATGACATCTGAATTGTTTGTATACTCAGATATAAATGAGTGTAAGGCCAGACAGTCGCCATGCGTCAATGGGATCTGCATCAACAACCAGGGCAGCTTCAGGTGCGAGTGTCCTCCAAACTTCCGCATGGGACCAGAGGGCAGGACGTGCATTGGTAAGTCTCAATTGTTAGACCATTCTCTTCATCAGCTGTTTGGCTGTTCAAATTGCCTTTCATCTGTGGGCCATTCGTCTGTAAACAGTTCCTGTCATTATTCTAGAAGTACCAAATATATCTTTCTGTAGACTCTCCTTGGTCATTAGTTGTGTATCATTGATTTTGAGACTATTTAAAAGAAAGCGATGGGTGCCAGGTGGATTTTTTTTGTAATTTCATGAGCAGGTTGCCTTTGGCCCTTAGATGTACATTTTCAGTTCTTGGACTGAAAGAAAGAACAAGATGGCTTCTCTGCAATATATATTTATATTCAACTTTTATCATACATTTTGCTTGTGATATTTATTCAATGCTACAGTTGTATAGATAAAGTTTTCTCTATTTTGAATGTTTAAATTAAACTGTTTAAAATTAAATGTTATTCATGTGTTGATGTTGGCAGACACCAGACGGGCCCAGTGTTATAGAGAGTACAGGAGCGGCCGCTGCTCCAGTGCTCTGCAAACCCTAATGTCCAAGGCTATGTGTTGTTGTATGGACACTGGTGGGGTCAACATTCTAAAGGGTTGGGGACAGAGGTGTGAGCCCTGCCCCACCCCGGGGGATAGGGGCTACAGTGACTTGTGTCGGGACATTGGAAGGACTCCTGATGGTGGTAATTATTTCATTGTATAACTGAATCAACATAACTTGTGGACTTTCACCCTTTCTTCAAATGTCAAATAAGTGCAAATTCTCTGTGAAATCTTGTCTCTGGGTTGTGCAATTTAACTGTTAAAATGTCCTTACGAAACTGGAAATATTCAATGCACTGTATCTAAGTCGAAGGTCAAATAAAATTTTCAGGAAAATTGCTGTGATTTTTAAACTTGGAAAATACTTTGATGAAACCTGTTGTATACCCTTAGATGATGTGCAATGTACTGTAATGCAATCACATTAACCTTAACCTCTCTGTCAGAGGTCAGATAAGTGCAAATTTTCACCTAATTTTGTCTCAGCTGTATATTTAATTAAACCTGAAACCTTAAATTGAAAGTTTACCTGAATCACCCACACACGGTAGGCACTGCACTGTATTAAGGTTTTTGTTCATTGACCTCTAAATAAATACCACAGAAATAACCATCTTTGCTTACAAGGTGACATTTTTTGTTTACCAAATCAGGTCTTCAGGTTTTTTTTAGTTTTTGTTTCGTAATTTTTTGTACATAAGTTAAAAGCACTAGATGTGCTAAAACATTGATACCAAGTACTTGTCTAATGCTACAACTTTGTATTTTCAGACATCAACGAGTGCCGGTTGAATCCTTTTATTTGTGTGAATGGAGCCTGTGAGAACAGGGATGGCAGCTATAGGTGTTTATGTAACCCTGGATTTGAGTCTGACCCAACTGGGAAGTTATGCAATGGTAAGAGAAAATACTTCATTTCATGAAATTTTGATTAATGCCTTATATAAAATAAGTAAATAAACACGCTTATAAATGATTCTTAGTCTTGTTACCATTGGTCTCTGTCATGATAGAGATAAAATTTGTCTAACCTCTCAAAAATCAAACCTGGAGTAATCTTGTAACCTTGTATATAAAAGTTGTCCTTTAGTAATGACCTGTTGTTTAAAACAGTCCACTAGCTATTTCCTTCTGGCTTCTGTCTAAAAATTCCTTTAGATACAGTGGTAGGTCATATTTGTATATTGTAATGGGTTTTTAACATCTCATCTGAAAGTTTCAATAAAAACAACAATAGGGGCCCGTTCATTTAAGCGGTCCATACGGTTTGTCTGTTTTTAAATGTAATAATTTAGGGTAAAACCTGATGGACTAGCAAATGTTAATGCAGGCCTTGAAAGTTGTTATCAAGGCTCGACAGAAACAACATAGATCACAAGGTCCTTCTCAGTCCACAAAAGAACAACTTTGGTGTAGCAGGTCTAGCCATTTGGAACATGAGAAATGACTACAGCCCAGGACCACTAAAGATGTGCCAAGAAAATATTGATTTTGACTTTCTTCCTTGAAGAATAATTTTGTAATTGTCAGTCTGTAATATAAAAAATCATTTGTTTTTGAAATATTGATAAATAGCTTTGTAAGGTGTAACAACTTGCGCTAAATACTTTGTACCCATTTGGACTATGAGATATGTTTAAAGCCAAGTTAAGAGAGGAAGACTGGTTGATAAAAGTAGTTTTTGGAAAAGTGGACCAGAAAAGATAAATATATCCCAACTGCTGCATTCTGTGTAGATGAAGTTGTATTGGTCCTGAATCTTCAGGGGCCCCTTATTGGTCACCTTATACAATCATGTAGTTTGATACTCAGTTATTTGTTTCTCTGAACTTCCATTGGTGCCTATAGGTACATAACGGATTTGGGCTTGGTGTAGTTAATATGGGAACAAATGTGATAAGTAAGCCACACTAATCTTTATTTTTCTTTCTTTTTTTTTGCGGGGGGGGGGGGGGACATTTTAAATCAAGCACTAGCTATTCTGATCATTAACGTTAGGATTAAACTGAACTCCATAGGGTCTGAAAGGTAGTTAGGATGAATGGAATGTCGATGCGTCTCTGGTTTACTAAACTTTGGGTACATTGTTCCTCCTCAAACTTAACAGTTACCAATAGTACGATCTTATTCTATTACAGATATAAACGAGTGTGTGAAGTACCCTAACTATTGTGCTGGAGGCCAGTGTCGTAACTGTTAACACTAGTACGATCTTATTGCATTTCAGATATTAACGAGTGTGTGGAGTACCCCAACTATTGTGATGTAGGCCAGTGTCGTAACTGGTACCACTAGTATGATCTGTAATAGAATAAGATCACACTAGTGGTAACAGTTACAACACTGGCCTCCATCACAATAGTTAGGGTACTTCACACACTCGTTTATATCTGTAATAGAATAAGATATCAGTGAGTGTGTGAAGTACCCCAACTATTGTGATGGAGGCCAGTGTCGTAACTGTTACAACTAGTATGATCTTATTCTATTACAGATATCAGTGAGTGTGTGAAGTACCCCAACTATTGTGATGGAGGCCAGTGTCGTAACTGTTACCACTTATACAACCTTACTCTATTACAGATATCAATGAGTGTGTGAAGTACCCCAACTATTGTGATGGAGGCCAGTGTCGTAACACACTAGGAAGTTACCAGTGCACCTGTCAAGCTGGTTACCAGTTCAACCAGAGAACCTCTAGTTGTGAAGGTAACTTAACACTCTACTGGTTATAAACAAAGTGTTACATAGGTCCTTAACCTCGCATCACTCAATGTTGTAGATTTAACTGTAATGTCGTACTGTGCATCTACAGTATTACTGATAACATCGTTTACCCAGAGATAATATTTAGATGATAAAACTGACTTAAGTGGTAAAATATTTTCCGTATCATTTTATTGTGTTTTTCACTAATAGCATAAACAAAGTAATTCTGCAAGATGTCATATTTAGTTATTTTCATATTGTAAGACATTTTGTTATCAAAATAAGGCTGGAAATATGCAAAAGCAGAAACGAAATAGTAGCCCTGTTAGATAACAGTTAACCAACAATCTATATTGAGTGAATTGTTTTAAGTTTGCAGAAATGTTTGTGATGCTTTCATAATATGGTGTATGATCAAATTCAAAGCAACTTTATTAATAATCACTTGAAGGATTTTGTTAAAAAGATGTAATTTAAAAAAATAAGTCCTATTTATTTTGATGCCTCCTAGACCAGAACGAGTGTGAAAGCAACCCCTGTACTGATGGAGACTGTATCAACTCCCCAGGCAGTTTCCGCTGTGACTGCCGTGAGTCGGGCGCCTCCCTCGACTCCACGGGCAGGATCTGTGTTGGTAGGTAGGCCTGTTGTGGCCATACAGTTTTGAAACGGGGTACCTGAAAATGGAAAACAAACCTATATCTTGTTTGTCAAGTTATAACATTGTTTGAAGCTAGAAGGTACAGTTGGGTTTCATATGGTGATGTCTTGACTGAATGAATCTCTATTGTGTGCAGAATACAAGTATAAAAGACAAAGGTTTTGAAACATTTGGTTTTTCGACCCTAAACAATTTGACAAGTACCTGTCAGAGATACACGTCTCTAGTATTTGTGAAACAATTTTGTGGTATAAGTTATGAGCAATATAGTTAAAAATGACCTTAAATATGATGTTGAAATTTCCACATCGACAATGGTTCTAATTCTATAATAGATCTAGAATCTAAATAATATAAATTTGCATGTGAATGTTTTCGTGATCATTTACTCACCATGAAAAATGTGAGCATTTCAACACCGTGATTTTCACTTCTAAAGTATAGAATATAGTATCCAAGAGACAGTAATATTTTGATGTGTTGAATGTCAGACAACAGGAAGGGAGCGTGCTGGCTGGAGATTCGGGACAGGATGTGTGAGAACAATCTGAAGACGCTGGTAACAAAGGCCGAGTGTTGTGGAAGTATCGGCAAGGCTTGGGGCAGCCCTTGTGAAATATGTCCACCCCAATGTAAGTCACTTCCCTGTCACAGATAAGATTACAGTGTAACTTTGTCTTGTCACCATGTACACTACCCCTCTTGTGTCACAGATAGGCTTACAGTGTATCTTTGTCTTGTCACCATGTACACTACTTCTCTTGTGTCACAGACAGACTTAATAGCAACATTCATACTTGCCAACCTTACGAAATTTCCATGGGAGAAATTCTGCATACTCTAAATGAAAAACCTAAATAAAATGTGTGTATATACGCCTTAGGGACACACTAACTTTAAAATGACACAACGTTAGTTGTTCTTTCAGACGAAATAATTTAATTGATAGTTCTGCAAATGCACTGATTGGAAATATAAAATTTACCGGTCTTAAATCGGGAGTCTTCCTCCTAAATAGGGAGAGTTGGCAAGGAAGAACATTTAATATTTCTTTTACCTTGGTCCTTAAAAGAGAACAGCAATTTAAAATGGTAAGGGAATGTGTTTTGTCAAACTATCATCAAAGAGAGGATGAATTTTGCACTAGTGTAAAACTGCTTGAATGACATGAGAACAGACATTTATTGGAACAAACTTTTTAAATATACACCTGTCAGTTGCATGTCCAGGGTTAACTGCATTGATTATTCCAGTGGAATTATAAAATTCAGATTTAGAAGTTGACGAGATAATACCTTGACCTACAATATACTTGAACTCTTGAATTCATTAAATTCTCAGAACATAAGGAGGTTTTATTTGGTACTAAATATATAACATCCTTGTCAAGTCAAGTTTGTTCAGATAATGACTTATTCAAATATAGTTGTTCAGGATGCAGGAACTTTCAAATGACAATCTGAAGTGTGTCACATTTGGTTTGTAGAAAATAAAGTTATGTCTTACAACTTATTGTTGTATAATTGCAATTTGATGTTTTCTTTTTCAGCGCAATTAAAATGCCCCCCTGGGTATGCACCAAAGAGTGGAGTTTGTATTGGTGAGTCTTATACAATTTCCATGCATTTGTCTGTACACCAATTTGGGTTAATTTATATATATGTGTCATGATCTTAGAAGTCGACCCTGTTCAAATAATTGCAGGTTTTTTTAGTACATTGAGAAAAGGACATATCAAATCAGTGTGTATTGATAAAAACCAACATGCAACAGTGGTTTACCATTTGTTAGGGACCTGCATTAGAGATGCAGGTGTCCTATTGTAATTACTGTGTCCATGTGTCGGCCTGTCCATCCACTCTTTATTTCACGGAGATTATCTCAGAATCCCAAAGACTAATCTTTTTGAAATTTGTCATGATGATACACTGAGATATGTAGCCATGTAATAGGGGTTTGAAAAATAGTATCTAAGGGCAATAAGGGCAAGACCAAGGTCAATAGACATGGGGTGGGGGAAATGGTAGGTGGTAAGGTCCTTCTCTCAGGATCAAAATTAATTAGGAATGGGGCCAATTACATATTTGTCCCTTACTGGCCCTAGAGAAAGCCTTGCTGTTGTTGCTATTTTTGTTTTATCGTACTTTGGTAGATTAATATACAAATGTTTTAAAATATCAATCATTATTAAGTTGTGTTTTGTTTAAGACATCAATGAGTGTGAGCTGTACTCAAACCTTTGTCAGGGTGGAGGTGAATGTGTGAACTCAGTAGGATCCTTCACTTGTAACTGTCCACCTGGTCTTAGTCTGGATTCCTCAGGCCGCAACTGTGTTGGTGAGTACTAGGTAGAACTTGAAATAATATCAACAATTTCGAGCAAGGATTTTAGCTACTTTAAAATGCAACAGATGCATTGCTTAGTGTATAGGCCCCTATACTCTAGGTTGGTTTGTCCTTAATTTCATAACAAGAAACTCTGGTCTAACTAGTGAAACTATTTGGAAGTTAATAAATGCAGCTAAAAAAACTCTTGACTACTGGAAAGTAGAAGAACTATATTAAACCCAGTTGGTACTTACTGAAAGTACTGAAATTACATTTTATCTATTTGTCTATCATTCCATCTGTTTGTCCCATCAAAATTTGTCTGGTGCATATCCCCTGTATGATTTTACCTATGACTATCCAATTTTGTATGGAGGTATATTTATGGAGGGCATAATATTGCACATTTAAAAGTAGGTCACTGTGACCCCTATATCGACTTTTGACTAAAATCGTTGAAAACAACTGTCTTGAGCATAACTGTCATGTTATAACTTTAAGGAGCATGAGATCTTGTACAGAAACCTGTAACCTACACCTTCACACTTATCCCATATCACAGCAAGAGTTTGTCAACAGCATAAATACTAATTGTTTCATATGGTATTTGTTTCAGACCTGAGAGAGTCTACCTGTTACCTTGGGTTCTCCAGAGGTAGCTGTACCAACCCTCTGTCAGGCACGTATCTCAAAGCGGATTGCTGCTGCTCCTTGGGTAAAGGCTGGGGAACTGCTTGCACTGCATGTCCAGCTCATGACTCGGGTAAGTTCTGTTTATATACAGACTTCATTCATATTTTTAGATTTTCTTTCGTGGACCATTGGAAGTTAATGTTCTTGTTTGTTACAATTTTCACATTGTAGAAAGATGTTTTAAAAAAACCTCTACACTTTTGAAAGCAGAGGAAGAAAACAATAACTATAAAAAGTAAAAAAATTCAAATGAACAATGTTTTGTGTGGTTCCGCTTACTTTCACTCACAATGACTATCAGTGAAATTGTTTAGTTTAAAACTATTGAGAAAATAAAACTAGTCATGGAGTGTTGCTCTGACAATGTTGGCTAATGAAAAAAATGCTGTAACATTGTTAAATATATCAAAAAAAATCCCATTAAAATCTTAGTTAATGCTTGATGATTCGTTCGACACTTTTGACTTTGAGATTATTCAGAATTTACCAAATCTATATATTCATGATTTAAACCAGTAATGCTGATAATATGGTGTTTTTAAACATGTTTGTGAGTTGGTGTTAATTGTTTTGTTACAGCGGAGTACCAGTCTCTCTGCACCATTGATGGAGGCAGGCGGAAAGGTAGAGTATTTACGACATCATCTCTTCAGATCTTCACCAGTAACTCTCAGCATTTTATGGGGGTATATAGTTTTACCCATCTCCATGATAAGCCGTTCCCGGTCCCGTCACATCAGGATTCATTGTCACGACCCTACTGACTTCATTTCTGAACACATTTTCATCAAAGTTTATACAAAGTTTATACAAAGTTCTATTTTGAGAATACCTTGGATGAGTGTTTATTTCATGGTCCCAAGGTCAATGCCAAGGTCACTTTTGCTGTTCATAGGTCAACCACAGGACCAAGGGGACAGTCATGTTTCACAGAGGTTTTCTAAGTGCATTTAGAAGCCTGTCTTATAAGATTAATGTTAACAAGGATCATGCTTATAAAAGACTCGACAAATCATTATTAACTTACAGATACTTAAGTTGCACTGAATAATGCCTAGACCACATTCCTTAGGCCTCTTTATGAATGTGTTCCACTGCAAGTTTGACTCGCATATGAAAAGAATTTCTTGCATGATTCGATACCTCATGCTAAAAGAAAACACAACAAAAAATCATTTAATACATTAGGATGTATTCCAATTTGTGTTTGTCTTTCTTTTTTTTTTACCAGAAAATAATTTTGTGTATTTATTTCAGACATCAATGAGTGTCTGCTGTACCCAGGAATCTGCAGTAATGGCGTGTGTCAGAACACATTCGGTAGTTTTGTATGTTCCTGTAACCAAGGATTTGCCCTTGACAACTCAGGCTTCAACTGTACAGGTAAAATAACCCACTAGAAAGATATTTATGAGTATTTAGTGCTATTTTGTGAACTTGTTGAATTTATATGATAAGTTTTGTTAAATTTGATAAGTATCATAGTTAAGGTAAATGTTACCAAGAAGTTAAACTATAATATTACTACTGTCACTGTGGTGAAGTGTTTTATTAAAACCTTTTCAAAAGAAATATTCCATAAAAGTCACGAGTTACCATGAATTTGACTCAGAAGTGTAGTTGTTCGAAAATTGAATGTTTGAAATTAGATATGAAAAAAAAGAAAAAATGCAGGGGTTGGATTTGGAACTTTTACATTACAAAAAACACTTTACCAATTAATGTTGCCATACAGGAATTATACAAAGATGGCATCAAAATGAGTGACCAATTTATAGGCCACAAAGATTTATAGGCCACAAAGATCTATAGGCCACAAAGCATATGTGAAACTTGACAGAGGAAGTTACTCTTAAGCCAGAAAAACTCCTTTTGGTTGCTTCATCTTCTATATAGAACGGAGAATGGTCCAAGTCATCAACATACTGTATGACTTTATCAGTACATGCGAATGACGAAATTAACACTGGGAGAATAAATATGGATTTTACAAATGGAGGGTAAAAGTTTGCCTGGAGGCAAGCTTCCTTGTATACTGTAATTAGGACTTTATTTTTCCTAGTTTGAATATGTTATTCATGTCTGAATGGTCAGCTTGTTCACTAGTTGGTACAATAATAATCCTGAAAATCATGAATGTGCTATTGTTGTTTGCAGACATTGATGAATGCCGTATATCATTTGGAGTGTGTGGTAATGGAACTTGTCAGAACACACCTGGAATGTTCCGATGTTTGTGTAATGAGGGCTTCAAGGGTGTCATGATGGATCAGATGTGTGTTGGTAAGTGTAACCATGACCTGCTTGTTTTTGTATAAAAATGATTGATACAGCTACAGAGAATTTCAAATGTAATTTGATTCAGATCTATTATTCAGCTAATGGCACAGTAAATTGGTTTAATAGTTTTAGTAAGTATTTTTTTGGAAACTGAAATTTTAATCTTGAGCGAGAAGTTATTTGTTTTATTATTATGTTTTTAAAGAAAAAAATACGAGGGAGTGGAATACTTGCATTATTAGTCCCCCCAAGGGACATAATGTTTGCACTCTGTCTGTCCATCACTTTGTCTGGATCATACCTTATATAATCTTTTAGCTTCAATTACAAAATTTTGTATATGGCACTTGGGCTACATTTGCGTATCCCGGTTGAAACGGTACGTGTGGCGCAGAAATTTTCCACGATAAACGAACACACCGTTCTATAAGCAGAGCTAAAAATCCACAGTTTCAGAGAATAAAAAACAATATTATGCCTTTCTCTTACGCGTCCACTAAATTACATAACGTATCTTAAAAATTACATGTGACTTGACATTGTTTAAGAAAGAAATAACGCAAATTGGTAATAGTCAGCATTTTAGTTTCGGTCAGGTACGTCTGGACCCCTCAATCTACACGTACCAAATTTTCCTGAGGTCAGCCTCGGTCCAAATCTGTACCTGTTGTTTTCTTTACAGGTTAAACCGGTTCAATTGTTTCAACCGGGTACGCGAATGTACCCATGGTCTCATACCCAATTATATACAGAGTTATGTCCCTTTGATCAATTATGATATTAAGTTTCGCCAAGAAGTGGAAACTATGAATTGGCATTATTGCTCACAATAAGCTGCCTTGTTATTTACATAAACATATGCATAGTATGCTAAAACTGATGCTTTGCTTACTTTATGGCTATTAATTACTAACATGTCAAACAGATAAATTTGTGTATGATTGGGGTAAAACAATGCAGGATGTATTTGTAGATATTGATGAGTGTGACGAGCAGCCTGGCCTTTGTAGAGGGGGCTCCTGTGTCAACACCATTGGTGGTCACTTTTGTGAGTGTCCTGAAGGTCATGTCCTGTCACGTGATGGTCAGTCCTGTACAGGTATGTAAAAACTTAGCTACTTTTACAGAGTATTGATGTACAGGTTTGTATATAAGACAAATAGTGGAAATAAATATGTGTTTAACATAGAGAAAAAATAGTAATAACATTAAATTAAAATTTCTTTCAACTGAATGCAAATCAAAGAATGATTTAATGGTAGATGAATTTGGCCAAAAATTTCATTTAAGATGATTTGTTTTCTTCAAAATTACACATAAATCAAGAAGAGAAACAAATGAGTCCTTTGGGATAAATTTTACATGTCAGAAGAATGCCTGAACTCTGAACTCATTTTGGTATTCTAAACGTTGACTGGACTATTCATTGTTTTATGTAGATGTTCATTGAAGAGTTGTGTTCACTGTCAGAGTCGTATAGTGATTAATACTTGTTTCTTTGGGGAAGTCACTGATTTCTTGCTTTACTTCCTAGATGTGGATGAGTGTTCAGAGAGCCAGAGTATCTGTAACAATGGAATATGTGAGAACTTCATGGGCGGCTATCACTGTCGCTGTTTTGATGGTTACGTAACCACCAGAGACCACACAACTTGTATAGGTAAGTAGGACCAAGACATTTTAGCACGTTTTTCATAGGCTCATACAGTACTTGATAGACAAAAAGATGTACAGTATTTTGCCTTAAAATAACAGATATTGATAATGGTTGAGTACGATAATAATGAATATTGATAATGGTTGAGTACGATAATAATAAATATTGATAATGGTTGAGTACTATAATAATAAATATTGATAATGGTCGAGTACAATAATAATAAATATTGATAATGGTTGAGTACGATAATAATAAATATTGATAATGAATGAAGCGTCCTATAAGTAGTGATGGCTGCAATATTCCTTTTTTTACAGATGATAATGAGTGTGCAGACAGAAATGGCGGGTGTCAATCTTTGTGTGTGAACACCCCCGGGTCATTCGTGTGTGGCTGTGACCCTGGCTTCGTGCTTCTCCCTGACCAGAAGTCTTGTGGCGGTAGGCATTATATATATATAGGACTGTAAAATGTACAATTGTCACCTAAGTATTGCTTGCAATCGTATGAATAGGTATGTGATATTTGCATAAGAGATATTAATGCTAGGATTTTAAATAGAATTATGGCCTTTTTTGTACTGGAGACTTAAAATTTGGTATGGTCAGTTTGTCATTAATTGTAGATGTGGTAGTTTATTCAGGCTTTTCTTTCATTTCCAAGTCGACTCTGAAGGCTGACATTCAAAAGTGAAGATAACAATATCACTGTTGAAGTTTTTAGAAATTTAATTTTAAAAAAATCCTTTAAATTTTAACGGAGTCACTTGGAATAACATATAGGACATTTAACGTAAGCTTCCACTTCATTTTAAAATCATTCATTCTTTGATTGTTTTTCAGATGTAAATGAATGTAAAGAGGAGGGCGACATTTGTAATGGTGGAAAATGTACAAACCTTCCTGGGAGTTACAGGTGTACCTGTATAGGGGGACTTACTCCCTCTGTAGATGGAAAGATGTGTCTAGGTAAGTACAGTATACACCTTCTGTACAAAGGAAAACTGTACCGGGGCAATATTCCCTCTGTGGACATCCATATAAGTACAAGCTGACTTACTCCCTCTGTAGATGGCAAAATGTGTCTAGGTAAGTACATGGAACCTATACTACCTATACCACCCTCTTTACAGAGGAAAAATTGACTTACTCCCTCTGTGAATATGGAACAGCATATAGGTATGTATGTATCAGGACCATAACTATCGATGGTCAAGAAACTGCATCAATGCAAAAACATAGTGCCTTACTCTTGTTGATGCTATTAAACAGAGTCCAGAAGTATTGAGGGTGGTAATCCCTCTGTGGTCTGGACACTGTCTAAGCATACTCCCTCTGTGGTCTGGACACTGGCTAAGCATACTCCCTCTGTGGTCTGGACACTGTCTAAGCATACTCCCTCTGTGATCTGGACACTGTCTAAGCATACTCCCCCTGTGGTCTGGACACTGTCTAAGCATACTCCCTCTGTGGTCTGGACAATGTCTAAGCATACTCCCTCTGAGGTCTGGACACTGGCTAAGCATAGTCCCTCTGTGGTCTGGACACTGGCTAAGCATACTCCCTCTGTGGTCTGGACACTGTCTAAGCATACTCCATCTGTGAACATGAAATAGCCTATAGCTATGTACCAGCGCAATATTTCCTGTGTGGACCAGAAAGTAATTGATATAAGTACAAAGGGACTTACTCCTCTTGTTGATGCAGAACAATGTCTAGTGGAGCGCTAGGTGTCTTACTCCCTCCGTGGTCAGATTCCTCTCGTTGATACAAAACAATGTCTAGTGGAGGGCTTGGTGTCTTACTCCCACCGTGGTCAGCTTCCTCTTGTTGATACCAAACAATGTCAAGTGGAGTGCTTGGTGTCTTACTCCCTCTGTGGTCAGATTCCTCTTGTTGATACAAAACACTGTCTAGTGGAGTGCTTGGTGTCTTACTCCCTCTGTGGTCAGGAATCTGTCCCGGTATACTTCCCATGTGGTTGAGAAACAGTATAAGGGTTTGTATTCCCTGTGGACTGGGAACATTATCTAGATAAGTACAAGGGACTATGTTCCAGGGAAGATATCTGAATAAATTCCCTCTGTGAATAGGAAACATTATATGGGTGTCTGCAGGTAAGCGCAATGGCCAAAATCATCTGTGGACTGGAAACAATGATCTTGCAATTGTGTTATAATAAATTGGAGCCAGATATAGTTATTAAGAGATGTCTGATATTCATTCCAAGAACTAGGGAAGCAAATGTTTGTCAAAAAATACTGATTTATTTTTGTCCTTTTTGTAGATGTGGATGAATGCATTGCTAACAGAAACCTGTGTCTGAATGGACAGTGTCAAAATAACCATGGGTCATATGTGTGCATCTGTGAAACTGGATTCTCGGTCAAGATGGAGACGAGGAACCCTGGATGTACAGGTACTTTATAAGATCTTGGTAATGACTTTTACATCACAAAAGGGATTCAACTTGGTAGAAAATGGTACCTCGGGAATGATTTCTTCAATCTTGGGTGGTAACAGTGTAACATGGTTCTTTCGTGAATTTACAGTGATTTAAAGTTTATTCCTCTAATTCCCCACAGGAACCTTTGCCTTTTGACCATTGGAAAATATCTTGCGCAAAAAAAAGCTTGATTTGGGGAAAATAAAGCAGAAATAAATTTCCAGAGGAAAAGGTTTTATTACAGCTCTAACTTCACCTTAAGAAAGCACTAGTGTAATACTGGAAATCATAATTACAAATTACTACAGCTGTATGTCGATAACATTAAGTTTCATCCACCTGAATGTGAACTCGACTGAAGCTGGCCTTAAATGAAGCTTAAAGCTTGATTCTTGTCTTCTACTGTATATTGTGAATTCTTTGCCCGCAGTTTACATTTCCCCTTTTCACGACACAGGATGAAAATTATAGTAATGGTATAATTCAACATAGGGCAAAAATTAAATGAATTACTATGTTGTTTGGTGGTTACAGATGACAATGAGTGCGAGTCAGGCTCAGCCGGATGTGACTCCCATGCTGTGTGTATCAACACCATTGGCTCTTACAAGTGTGACTGCAAACCTGGTTACACTGGTGATGGCTTTACTTGTAGAGGTAGCTATCAGGCTCAACTGCTCTTGTCAGAAAATTGGAAAAAATGATATTTTGAAGTAGTGATGCTTAATCTTTTCTATAAAATACTGGCTTTATCTTATCTGTCAGTGGACTTATTTTGTACTTTATACACAACATATAAGATAAAGCACAAATAATTCTAGAACAAATATATATGAAAACAGTGGATCTTCACCAAAATATTTTTGAAACTCTTTGTTTTCAGAGCAGTATTTTTAAAATTTTGCATTACACATAGTTTCAATAACTGTTTGTATATAGATGAACTGTTTATATAATTAGTTAAAACTTGTTACCCTACCAATGTAATTTCCGTGCGCTGATATACTCACAACTTGACCACAGACAGTAACGAGTGTACACGTAACAATGGAGGCTGCGACCTTGATGCCACCTGTATCAACGTCCCCGGTAGCTTCAAGTGTGTCTGTGATGATGGCTTTTCTGGCGACGGCTTCCAGTGCAGAGGTAACTACTAGAACTTCTCATCTGGGACCAGCTGTTCAAAGTCTTAATAAACTTATCAAGTTCTCAATGCAAATTTTCAAAATGATGTTTATATTAACAAATATCTGAAAGTTGACAATTATATACTTGAATTCTTTTGCTACTGAGGATAATTTTGAATTGATATATGTACATGAAATTATACTTAGGTTTGATTTTTTGATGTTTTAAAAAATAACTGGTATACATATAATAATAAAATTATGTACTTCATGAAAGAGTAAGATTTGTGTTAACCTAATCAGCCTTTGAACAACTGGGACAAGCCTGTCATCATATTCAGTCAGCTATATGCATATTCCAGCTTGTCAGTCAGACTTATGAAATGATTTGAAATGATTTCAATAGATGACTTTGCATTTACTGTAGAAGAGCTCATTGAGGTTTTGATAAATTTATATCATAATGCAGTCATGCAAATTTCAGTTAATTCTTGTTGAATAGCTAATTCAATATTAAGCTTCCCCCCACCTGCCATTGAATTTAAGTTATACAAATGTCATGTTTTTTGGTTTGCATGATAGATGTGGACGAGTGTACGCTGGACTCGACGCTCTGTGAGAATGGACAGTGCCTCAACTTCCCTGGCGGATTCCGATGTGACTGTGACATGGGATTTTCACCCACGCTAGATGAGAAGGCTTGTGTAGGTTGGTAAGAGTTCAGTTTAGCGTTACATGTCCTGCAAATAACAAAAAAATCTTGGTCGGTAGATATTTAATTTATTGTAAGAACCTTGTTACTTTACTGGTAGCAAACTCATTTTTGCATTAGTGATTTAAGTTCAAATTTAAGTTCTGTGCTTAAATTTGAGACATGTATAATTTCGGGATATAAACATATCCATGTATACACTCGGATGAAGACTATATATTATGCCTTACAGACATTCCAGTTCAGGAAATTCATAACAGTTAACCAATCAGTTGCAAACATGCAAATTTTAAAATCAGTGAAACCAAGAATTGAAATTTTTCTTTTTTCTTTTCTTTTGGCAAAACAGCTAAATCTTTCCCGTGTAATTGCCAAAAAATGACAAGGTAACATACACAGCATCTTCATAACACACATGTAGTTGACTGCCAAGGGTTCTGGGTCGATATAAAATAGTTGATCTGCTGAATCCCATTTCCCAATCATAACGGACAAATATATGCCCTATATATAACCTGCTCTTATACCAGTGTTTCCCTTGTCTCTTCTGGTCCGTCCGTTAGAGTAAAGTAACAGGGGGGTGTGCGGAATTTGTTGGGTAATGACATTTCAGTGAGGTGACACTCTGAAGTGGTCCTGGAGTGGCCTCATCATCTGTGGGGATGCAAAGCATTGAACAAAGAAACAATACATTGTTAACCCTTTCGCCCCTATGTAACTTAAGTAGACTCTACCATGCATTGTTATGGATGTGTCCATTATGGTCTACAGTGGTGAAAGGGTAATTGTCAGAACATATTAATTTTAAATATAGAGACAATTTACTAAGATGTTTTTAGGGCCAGATTTAATATCATTGTATAAACATGCTGTGCATAGGATAATGCATAGTATTTGTACTAAATTTGTTTATTGTGCTTACAGTATTACAATGAATACAATGTTTGGTGTGTATTGCAGACATTAACGAGTGCAATACGTTCCACAACCTGTGTGTCAACGGCGAGTGTGAGAACTTGATTGGCTTGTTCCGATGTAACTGTAACCAAGGTTTCAGACTGGACGAATCAGGTGGAAACTGTACAGGTAACTTTTTTATGTCTTCAACAAATTACAAAGTAATTGTTTCAGGAACAGGAGATTATTGTAAGAAAATTGAGTCTTTTCAGATTTCTGGCTTCATCATGCATCGTTTTTTCCCTCTGGATAAGGAAAGTTTTCTTGCAAATTAAATTAAGCAGAATGCCAAATCTGTATGTTTCTACAAGCAATGTTGCTGCCAGTTAACTGTGTTATTCCTTTGACTTTTGGTGAATAATGCCGGCTATTGTTTTGATTTATATGTAACCATAAAGATTTGTTGAAACTGAAAATCTTACTGATCATGTCATGAAGTATGTGCCATGTGTGTGATTATTATTTGCCTGTGAAAAATTATGTCTGTTTGAAAAGTCACAAAAGGAGATAAATTACAGTGTTTCTTCGTCAGTTATATATATGAATGACTGATATTCACTTTACAGATATAAACGAGTGCTCGAATCCAGACAATTGTCTGTACGGAACATGTGTGAACACCCAGGGAGGCTATATCTGTAATTGTCCCACGGGCTACGAGACCAACCCCACAGGAACAGGCTGTATAGGTAATTGGTGGTCTATTATACATTTATTATAAATGATTATACAATTAGACTTTGTTTGGTAAAGCATGCAGTAATATTATGGTTATAATATATTTTTATGAGTTACAATAAATTTTGCTCTGGCACTGTGAAATAATTATTGAATTTGAACAGTTTATGTTTCTATAAAATTTACAAATTTTAGTGATAACTGACAGTTGCTCAAATGTCTCATGCATGAACATTTTCTAAATCACCACAAGAACAATAAGATGCAAATACTGAATATTTTATATTTTACTTATGACTAGATTTAAGATGTTTGTAAAGTAGGCTGCAGTAGCATGATTACCTGGAAAGAAATCTCAAGAAAATACTGATTTAAAAAATACACATTATGTTGTAGACAAGCGTCTGGGTACCTGCTACATGACAGTTCCTGAGAACCGACAGTATGGCGTGTGTAGAGATGTGATCACTCTGGACACATACCGTGCTACCTGCTGTTGTAGTATCGGACAGGGCTGGGGGGAGGAGCCTGGATTTTGTGAGCGTTGCCCCGTCAATGGCACAAGTAGGTATATATAGTCAACAGTTGTACTTTAGGACATGGCTGGGGGGG